TTAAATATTATATATTATATGTATTATTATATATATTATATATATTATTTCATATATTAAATGTATTAAAAAAAAACTATCATGTACTTACATACATGTGTGTGGCTTTGTGCACATGCATTTAAGCATATGTATCCCTGTGACCAGGAGAGTGTGTGCATGTATGACGATATAAATTTATTTATACAGATCTTAGAATAGTACATACATAAAAGTCTGGGTGTTGGCTGTGGATATGTGTCTCTAATTTTTATATATATACAATAGCGTATATATTATAGATTACATGCACTGCAAGAAGGTATCACCTGCTTTAGAGATACACACGTGCAGATGTATTTGAGCTGTATACACGATTCGGTGCGTATAGAGAAGGTACAAGTAGAGAAGCAGCGGATCAGTTTGGGGAGAAAAAGACCCTTAAGAGCGTTGTGTCCAACTGTGGTGGGGGTATTTTTGGTCACACACATATATGTATGTGTGGTGGGTGTTGGTTTCTTTTTTATATATATAGGCTATGTAATATAACGGCCATTATATAAGCCAGTGTTATATGTTTTATGTGTGAGTTTATTTTACATATTGGCTCTATTTATATATTTTATATACACACACATATATCCCCCCATGAAAGGGGTTTCTATGATAGTGTAAATAGACTATTAAAATATATAGTGGTTTAGATACTTTATATATGCTAGCTATTATCTATATCATCTCATATATTAATATACATGACAAAGTCTATAGCAATATCCTGTGCCATGTATTGTGCATATGAAAAGGTTCTCTAGGGTGGTGGGGGGTGGGGGGAGTGCATCTGCATACACGTACATAAAAGAACCACTGCTGTTGTGAAAGCAAGAACGCGTGGGCATGGCGAGGCATAAATATTTCAGTGACAATTCAAGCTGGTGTGTGTGTGTATATTACAACATTTTTGCATACGTCTGTGTCTCAGCATTACAGCACGCAAGGCTGCGCGCAGGCGCCGCGGTGCCTGCTGGGTGGGTAACGGATTGCAGTGCAAATAGGAACAAAGGGCAGCTGGGACTGCAGCGCTCTCCATACGTACATAAAGGGAGACTGGGGGGGTATATGTAATATAGCATATAATTATAAATAATGTTCTAATATATATGTGTATATATAGACATAATAACATAATTATTACAGAATATTGAATATAAATATGAATGACCACCTGATACATAATACACACTATATAACATGTGGCAGCTATAAAATACAGTATGTATTATGCTTTGCTATATATTATGTGGCGTTATTGTGTACCTAAATACACACATGGAAGCGGGCCTAAGACTGTGCGTGCATTTGAGAGTATGTATATGTATGTAAAATAGGTGACAGAGAGAAAACCAACCTTACGTGGGCATGTATGCCTAAATACATATGTATAGTGAGTATTTTTAAAAAATGGGGTGGGGCCGAGAGGATAGCATAGAGTTTTATCTATATATATGTATTTTAGGAGTGTATGTGTAAGAATAGTGTCCGTGAGGGTGTGGATGTGTATAGCAAAAAAAATATTGTACAGATTTATTACATTATACTTTGTCAAACGTTGTATGCTGTATACGTTATACATCCATACAAAAAGGGTGCCTGAGATCGTATAAATACATACAGCTCTATATAAAGGTGTCTGCATGAATGTGTGTGTAACATCAGAGTGTGTCTATTGATATGTAATATATGCAGGGTGGGTGTGCAGAATTAACCACTCGATAGGCTCTGTATAATTCTATATACACTGTCTATATATGTGTATATATATAAAAAAAGGCTCGCTGGCTGGGAGAGTTTGAGAGTGTGTAATACAACTGTGTATATACATACATATAAATATGTGTTTATATTTATATATATTATATATATTATAAAAATACATATTACATAAATATTTATTACATAACTATGTATTTTGTGTATATATGTGTATGTATCTCTATATATGTAACATACCTGCCATATCTGTGCGTGTATAAAACCCCAGCAGAGCAGAGGGGGTCCCGGGAGGCCGTGCACGCGTGTAACATAAATCCATTCCGGCTGTGTCGCCACCCCCACCTCTAGATGAGGTGTCTGGGGGGGCCGAGGCCGGGGCCCCCCGCCGCGCTCTTCCTCGCCCCCGTGCCGCTGAGAACGGGTCTTTCCTTCAATCTCCCC